GCCATGGCCATCTAATATTTGTCTGGTGTTTTAAATTAAAAATTATTTTGCAATTAATAATATTAATTTAATATATTTAAGTAAAGACCTTGACGAAAAAAGCAAATAAAAACCCCGGCAAAAATCCTTCGAGGTATATTTAATAAACGAAGTCCTAAATCTCGTGTTGATAATTTTTTTTCTTATCGCAATACCATAACCGTAGTACCCAATATTATAAAATTAAGTTACGAGTGCATGCAAGCTAGTCAGCTGACCAATAACTCGGTTAATATGGACTTGAAAACTTTAATTTCAATGCCAAACAGAAATGAAATTATATAGGTGAACCAATAAATTGTTAACTCTTCTTTAGTACAAGATTTACAAACCCCAATTTTACCAATCCATTTTTGTTTAAAAACGTGTTAATTTAGATAGATGCGCAATAATTATACTGTTTAATAATTATTGTAAAATATTTTTGGTTTTATTTTAAAGCATTACTTTACTTTTATAACAGTAATTTTTAAGAGCAGGTAATTTTCTTTTTTTATTATGCTGATATATGCAAATCAAATATCCTACTATAGTGTACAATGTACATACTTATGAAATGCGACGAACTTTTATTTTTACAATTCAATAAATTTAATGGATACTGCAAAATAATTAAAGAAACCATTACATTTTTTTTTATTTAATAGGTAAACAGGTAAATTTTATAATAGTATACACGGGGTGGCAGGCCCGTTCCTGGCGAGCGTGCAGTGCGTGCACGCACACAGGCGCAACATTTTGGAGGCGCAAAATTAAAGAGTCAATCAGTACTTTGTAATGATAAACTTTCTTGCATATAATACTTAAACATACATAGGATAAAGGTTACCGGCCTTTTTTGCGCTATTTTAACCTTTTTTGTAGAACATTCAATTTTATTTAAAAAATATTCTTAAGTCAATTTTGTTAAACTCAATGGTTTGGGAGTTATGAGTCAAAAACGGGCTCAGGAAAAAAAATCTAAAATTAATGATGATGATAGACCTCAAACAATATTTTCGATATATTTTACAAAAAAAAATAGTCCATTTTTTTTGGCCCAGTCTAATGTATAAGTACACAAAAATAAAATATATAAATATGTTGGAATTTTATGGTATACCCTATATACATATGTTTGGTCATACATACTAATAAATTGGAATTTTATGGTATACCCTATATACATATGTTTGGTCATACATACCTACTAATAAAAATTATCAAAAAAATGTAACATCAATATTTTCATTTAAAAAGGTAAAAATAACTTGATATTATTAGCTGTAAAAAGATTTAAAATAGCTACAAATTAAATTAAAAAAATATCAAAAAAATTTTTTTACAAAATAAATATCACATTTATTTATTTATATATTGCTTTAATGTAGGGTCCGGCAAAATGATTTCCCACATTTTAATCTTTTATAAAAACGCCAGTGTAAATGCTTCATTTAATGGATGTATATTATGTCATTTGTTTTCATTAAGTTTTGAAAATTACGGAATCCAAGTGGCGACCATTGTTTGCGATACACATTCAAAGCTTATTTCTGAAAGTTTCCATCACTCGAACATTCATTTGAGGCGATATTATATTCCTGCAATTGGCGTATTGCTGCTTTCAATTCGTCAATGATTCGGGGGTGGTGTTTAAAGAGTTTCCAAAAGAAAAAGTCGTATGGGGTATGATCAGGTGAACGCGCAGGCCATCCAACGTCTTCACGTCTCAAATGACTGCTCGAGTAATGAAAACCTTCAGAAATCAACTTAGAATGTGTATAGAAAAAATGGATAATACATAGAATTAAATTCAGGGTCATTTGGAAAATAAAATTTACTATGATATGACCAAAACCCTACTAGGCTTAAACTTTGTATATAGGTATTTGAGGCACGTTTAAACCAAACCATAATGCAATGGCCCATTAATGTGCCATTGCATGGCCGGACTAGTGTGTTTGCTGCACATAAAAAAAATCTAACATAGTACCAAGAACAGCGCTGTCATTAAATGCATTAAAATTGAAGCAATCTAAATTGTTATTTGCCCAATTAATTACTATTAAACCAAAATAGGAAAACATTTTGCCTAAATGTCAAAGAATTTATTACGTTAAATGTATACATTAGGGTGTGTCATTTTTGATAAACTTTTTTTTTTCAATTTCATATTTATATTTATATTTATTTGTTTGAATGTTATTGCATTAAATACTAATTTGATTTATTTAATAACGTAACTTTTGTATGTAAGTATACTATGTATACTAGGGTGTGTCATTTTTAAGCAACTTTTTTTTTTCAACTAAAAAACAGGCTAAAAAAGAAGCCTCTAAAAATTTGAGCTCTTAATAATAACATTAAGTGCCTGTTCCATTTTCCATTTAAATAGCATGGAAAAAAAATATTTTTTCTTAATTTTGTATCTTGACATTTAAGCATTGTAAAAACGAACTGAAAAATTATTTTGGTAGGACATTGAACGCTCTACAAAAAAGTTCTAATTTATTTTTTTATAGAGTAAGCCGTTCTGAAGGTATTCAAACTTATAAATGTATGAAATTATGACTTTTATTTTATTAAACTAATACTTTTTTATGTCTTAAAAATTATTTTAAGAAAAAATAATTATTTTCGTATGGAAAGAAAATAAGACTTACATCTCAATTTTTGTTCCATTTTATTTTATTTACTATCAAAAAAAGTTATTTGTGTTCAATAAATTTGTTCAATAATTATAATAGATTAAATAAAACAATGAATTTGTTATTGTATTGAATTTTTAATCTTTCTTTATTTTTTATAATTTTAAAGTCGATAACTCTGATAAAAGATTATATCGCCTCAGTCGGTATATTACCGTTCGGATTACACAGTGAATAGAGGCAAGCTAACGTGTCGCGATTCGAAATGTTAAAGGCAACTTTAAGTTTGAATACCTTCAGAACGGCTCACTCTACGAAAAAATATATTGAAACTTTTTTGTAGAGCGTTCAATTTCCTACCAAAATAATTTTTCAGTTCGTTTCTACAATGCTCAAATGTCAAGCTACAAAAATAAGAAAAAAGAAAAAAAAAATTCCATGTTATTTAAATGGAAAATGGAAAGTTAGGAACAGGCACTACTTATGTTAATATTAAGAGCTCAAATTTTTAGAGGTTTCTTTTTTCGCCTTCCTGAAAGTTTTTAGCCTGTTTTTTAGTTGAAAAAAAAAGTTGCTTAAAAATGACACACCCTAGTATACATAGTATACATACAAAAGTTACGTTATTAAATAAATCAAATTAGTATTTAATGCAATAACATTCTAACAAGTAAATATAAATATCAATAGATTTAGGAGCGATAACTTTTGTTGTTAATTTAAAAACAGTAAATGATTATAAACCAAGTGCTAACTACCTATTGGTATTATAGGAACTGTTATTCAGGAATACGGATTACAAGATCCCATTGGTTTAATGGCTTACCCATTCATGCCATGCTAGCGTTTTTTCTGTGTGGGAATGCGCTATCCAATTTTTCGAAAAAAAAATTAGCCCAATGGTCCATATCTAAAGATCTAAGCAAAGCTTTAAAAATTTAAATTTAAAATATATGTATATATAAGATTTGAGGCCACAACGTTGACCGATTATAATAGGTATACCTATTATAATCGGTCAACGTTGTGGCCTCATACATTATATTATAAAAATTGTATTTCTATTGCAAATCGACAGTATGCTTTCTATTTTCATAAAATTAAATATTATCAATAATTTTCTGAAGAAGAAATGCGGTTTTTTATTTATTAAGTTTTATTTTTTTTAAATGAAATTTGGAGTTATACGAGGTATGTTCAGAAAATAACGGGAATTGTTAAATTTCGCGGGTTCGGAGGGTCCGGTTGTCATAAAATTTTCTTTATTATGTTGGTATACATGCCCCGAATTATGATAAAAACTTTAGCTGTTTTCATTGTTTACTTTGTCTGTGGTAGCCGCTAAGGTTGGACGTGTTTTATGAGCTCGGCGATTTTCGTTCGTTAAAAGAATATGGATCACAGAATTTGTATCCAATTTTGCTTAAAAAATGAAATAAATTATGTGAAATGTTAACAAAGGCCTATGAGTCTGCTATAAGTAAAACAAGAGTTTACAAGTGGTATAAGAGTTTCCGTGAAGATGTTAAAGATGACGAACGCCCCGAACGCACAAGCACATTAACAACCGATAAAAACATGGAAAAAGTGGAAGAAATGGTTATAAACCATCAGAGAAGTCGCTGATGATGTTAATATATCGATTGGCTCATCCCATGAATTTATTTCGAATGTTTTGGGTATGAAACGCATGGCAGCAAAATTTGTTCCAAAATTGTTAAATTTTGAACAACTTTTTTGGCCAAAAACAATACTGTAATGATGCCCCAGCCTCCATATTCGCCAGACATGCCTCTGTCTGACTTTTCCTATTCCCAAAAATAAAGAGAACCTTAAAGGGCCGTCGTTTTGCAAGCATAGATGACATTAAAAGCGCATCGAAGTGTTTCGAGTATTGGAAGAAGAGCTGGCACATGTGCATAATATCCAATGGGGACTATTTTGAAGGCGACAACATTAATGTAGACGAATAAATAAATATTTGTTTCAAAAAATGAAAATTCCCGATGTTTTCTGAACACACCTCATATTAGAATTTTATTATTATTAGTAAAACTATTTGAATATACAATTTAAAATAAAACATAATATATATTATATAATATACGAAATAAATACCAAATATAATAAATAATCATTTATAAAATAAATATTAAAATATCCAATTTATAAATCTATAAATTAATTACTTAAAATATAATTTTTAACAATTAAACCTTACTAACTAATTTATTTGTGTGGGCTTTAAGTTTCTCAATGGAGGTAGGCGGGATTTTTAAAGACCAACTACAGAGTTATATTAGAATTCATACATTATTTTCAATTTGTATTTCAGTGATAGTGAAGCAAACCTAACATAAGTTAAGGTAAGAAATATTTACGTAGAAAATAGTAAGAAAATTTAATAATTATAATAAAATTAAATAAATATAAATTATAATTTATTAAAAATAAAAAATATAGAATTATAATTATTCAAATCATTGTTTTTAAAACCATTTATAAACATATTTTAAGAAACTTGTTAAAACAACTTTCATTAGGGCAAATTATTATGAAGAAGCACGAAATCTGTCTAAAACAACACAAAAAGTAAACAGCTCAATTTGTAGCAATTATAAAAATATAACAAAGTTTTTAAACAAATGTTGTTTGGATTTATATTTTTACTTAATTAAATAATTTGAAATACAAAAACATGTCTTTGTTTCTAAAAAGGATATTATACATTTTAAATAATAAACAAATTTTGCATTTAATTTTATTGCAGGTATACTCGTATAATAAATAAAAATATAATTATAGAAAACCAATTCTGGTATTTAGAGCATTTTAAGAGTAAAAATATATTTTTTAATTTTGTATTAATACAACATACAGCGACGGATTTACAAATTTGCCGCATATAGGCTAAACCAAAGTTCCACCTGCACTAAACATTTAACATTATAACATCCATTTTTTTAAAATAATTTTGTATTTATTTAAATTTGATGATGTTTAAATAATTAAATTTAAAATCAATTAATTGTTTTTGTTTGAAAGTTCCTTGAAACCTACCAAATTAACGTTAGCCTGGTTAATTAATTTAAGTAATATTGTAGTATAAGTTAAACAACATAACGTTAAGCGAACCATAATTTAATTCCATAATTTAATTCCTAGATATATTTTACCCATTTTTAACTACTTGTTTTACTCTTTAGTTAACTTAAAATAAAGTTTGAAATTTAACTGGTTTAGATTAATTTTAACTATTTTATACTAAATATGGTTATCTATAAAAGACTTATTTACAGATCTTTAAAATAAATATATTTTTTTAATAATTCGTGTGAAATTGATATAAAATCTGGTGGTTAAATTACCTCATTTTTTAATTATCAGATAAATAAAAATTAATGGCGTCTCTTTTTGTTAGAATGAACAACAACTAATATGGCGGATTACCATTTAACCAAAATATATCTAAAAAAACTACTTCTAACCATTTTTGTTGGTTAAAGGTAAATTATAACCTTATGTCACTTCCTAAATAACCTATTTTTTAACTGTACATAACTTGAATATTTTAAGAGTTTTAATTGACAATGAAAAAACAAATATTATAAGGGTTATTTTTTAGTTAATAATTAGGTACCCTTAAAAATATCAATGGTTGAATAAAGTAATGGGTTAAAAAACAAGTTTAAAAAACGTTATTTTACTTATACCTTTGTTAATTAACTTAAAATAGTAGTTATTTACCAAGTTGTGCTTATTGGTATTTATTGATAAATATATGTGGTTAAACTGTCGTATCCCCATGCGGGGCCCTACGAATCAGCCTACTTAGGCGTACCGGTAAATCCGCCACTAAAGATAGTTGGTAGTAGGTAAATCTATGAAATTATATAGCTTCATGACGTACAACTTGGAAGCCTTATTGATAGCCTCATTTTCAAACATAGAACAGTTTAATATTACTTTTCGAATAGTATTTGGGAACGTTCCGGATACTTGTAAGTTGCTATAAAGAAATGAATTCTTAAAATTAGGTGAGATCCCCTAAATTTTAAATGTTGGTTGTGGTAAATTTTGGACATACTCTATAATTTTATTAACGAGGCATTATTTGTATTTGAAAGTCAAACTTTGGAGTGAAGAAAATTTCAGTAAAATCTTTTTGTGCTAAGCTCAAGCAAAGCACAAAAATACACTTCTTGGCCAACCAAAGCGCTAAATGGGCTATAGCCCCGGGGCGCAACCTATTGAGGGCGGCAATTTTTATTGATGTTATATTTTTTGTTATTATATACTATTTTTCTTCAAAATCTTTTCAAGAAAAAAATAAAATAATGACATGTTCTAAATAAAACAGAACAAAGTATACGAAATTAAATAAACTTCTTCTAGTACTAATGCTTTTGTATAACTTGTATATTATAGTGGGAAGGGTTATACAATGTATAACCCGTCCCACTAACACCTATAAAGAAGAACGCAATATTTTTAGTAGCCCACAGGCGCTGAATATCTTAAGACGGCCCTGCCGATTGGAAAACGATATATCGTTTTATTTATAAATAAAACTTACAATTTTATAAAAAAAGAAAGTGAGGTTGAATTGATCTGACAAAAGTCGATTTTTTTAATTGGTCTAATTAAATTTTAAGGCCTATACGCTGTAAATTTTCCAATCGGGTTAGGTTATATATGGCCTAGTGCTTAGGCCTTAATTAATTACTTTAGTAACTAGTATTAACAACAATAAAGTTTTAATTATATATCGATAAACAATTTTTTTGGTTTTTACACAAAATTTATTCAATTTATATTATTTCAAAGTTTATTACCCTATTTATAAAAATATTTTTGACTTAAGTAAAATATTTATACTTTCAGTTTTTAAAAACTCATACCCATTGTATACCGGGTGAGTTTTTTAAAGTGTTACAAGGGGATATTTCGAAAACGGTTTAAAAAAATTTTGTAAAATTTTTGTTAACTAATAGAGGTTGAAGGACATATTTAAACATATATTTGACATCTACCTCCTTTCCCTATTTTAAGAGGCGGGGGGTAACTTTGGATTTTTAATAAGGATGATGTACTCTCTAAAAATGAATTAGTCAAAAATAACTAATTACTACAGTTATTAGTGGCTGCTTTTTCACTTACACCATGGTTAACCATGGGATACCATTTAAAAGCCAATTCTTATGTAAAATTGTCTCCTGAATCCGAAAATTTTGTGAAAATTATAAAAGTAGAGCAGTTTTTGAGATATAGCCAATTCCATATTATTTGGAAAATTGACTATATCTAACTTTTAACGACAATTTTACATGAAAATTGACTGCTAAATGTTCGGGATACACATGAACATTGACGAGAATTATTAGTGGCTGCTTTTTCGTTATGACAATTAGTTATTTTTTGACTAATTCATTTTTAGAGAGTACTTTAAAAAAAATCGAATCCATGTAAAAAAAAACCAAGTACATATGTGTGCAAATAAATATGTTTTGCTCTTTCGCTTATGGAATTATGATTTATTAAACTGCAAAATACTAAAAAATAATTTTAATTTAGTGTACGAAATTCATTTAGAAAAATAGTGAGGTGTGTGTAAGATGTTTGGAAGTTAAAGGGAGACATTTTAATGAATTTATCACACATGCCAGATGATAAATTAGTTGCAATTTAATTGTTAATATTTTTTAGTATCTTATGATCTAATAAGTCATAATTAGTAACCAAAAGCGCAAATCAAAAATTTTCTCGCACATATACCTAGTTCTTTTGTAGATTTAAATTTTTAAAAAATAAGTACATCATCCATATTAAAAATCCAAAGTTACCCCCCGCCCCCTCATAATAGGCAAATGGGGTAGGTGTCAAATATCTGTTTAAAATTTAAATAAATTTTAAACGGTTTTCGAAATATACCCTTGTAACACTCACCTGGTATAAATTGTATTCTCTTATGTACTGATTAATAGGGTACAATGTAGTCATTTTTACAATAATTTTATTCTCCATAATGCTTTAGCACCGTTGCAACGCGTTGTAGCAAATTCAAGAAACAGTAAAACTCAGTTAATAATAACTAATAATATTAGTAATTAAGTTGTTAAAGTTATAAGCCATGTCGAAATCGCAAACAGTTGTAGTGGTAAACCCAATCTTAAATGTAATTATAAGCATCCGGAAAAAAATATGTTTATTTCGGTGCTCACCGCTCTGCGTCTAATGATTTTTATGTTGTTTTCTAAGCATTAAAGCTCAACAACTACAGTTTTATACCATGTTATGATCTAGTTCGCTTCATGAAAACGAAAATTTCTATTATTATAGTTTGTTTTCAAGCAGGCATTTTGCAATTAATGTGGAAACTTCAAACAGGAGTCATGCTCCATATAATTTCATTTAAGATTCATTAGCCAATAATTATTAAATAATAAATATGCTCGAGGAGCTACCGGGTTGATTACATGGTTTTTAACGCCATCATATCGGTAAATTATTTTTAATTACTATTATCAAAACTGTATTTTTAATTTCTGATAATTGCCATTTCATCGCACAGCAAACAATAAATAAAATGTGTTTAATTAGATAATTACAAAAATTGTATGGCAGTTTCAAATTAAAACCAATTATATTTGGGAGTACCTATATCATCCAATTATTTAATTTAGATTAATTTTATCTATCTCCTACATTCAATTAAATTTCTTAAAATATGACAAAGAAATGCCAATTAACAAAGGAAATTAACTTTACGGTGGCAAAGGGAAGATCCGTCACCAAAAACTATAATACCGTGCGGTATTTTTAATTTCACCGGATGCGCTTTTCTAGACATAATTTATTAAAACGTTAGTACGCTTAAAATAGCTTACTTATTTGTCCGAAATAGAACGGAATAAAATAAAATTCAAGTGCCGCATGTCTGCAGCCATCATAGAAATCACTATTTATTGCACCAAAGCGTTGATGAGTTCTTTTTACTAAAAAGAACTTATTGCCTAAAAAGTTTTTAGGCAATAAATTACAATTGACAGGAACAAAATATTGTATTATAATTGTTTTATTAATTAAACCTAAATTAATACATTCTTAAAGAAAGATTTGTTTAACCGGGTTTATACTTTTTTTAAATAATTATAATCATAAGAGTTGTACTGACGTTTTCTTGTGGCAAGGATCATAACTGTTTTACATATATGATATTTTGCTTCAATTCAATAAAAATCAATTTAATATATGCATATACATGTATATGAAACAAATTATGAATTTATAGTCACTACATACTATAGATAATAGTATACAGATAACATGCATTTATAAAGAGACTTGTATAATTTACAATATAAAATATAATTTAAATCAATCAACTACAACTACTATTGAAAATTGATGAAATAAAATGCTTTTGTCATAACAATAAATTTAAAATCATTTAAGAAATCTTTTCAAATTACTTTTTTAATATTTATTGAAAAATTATTGTTTTGACTAGGGATGCACCGGAATTCCGGCGGTACCACTAAATCCGGCCGATCCGGCCAGTTCCGGCCGGATCGCTCTCCGGAACTTTTTGGAAATGTTTAAGTTTTAAATTTTTAATATAATTTAAATTCAAATATATGCAAAAATAAAGAAAATTATTTTAAGTTTTTTTTAATTGGTGCCTACTTACCTATTGTTAAGTCGTTAATTAATCACAAATAATTTTTAAATAAACAGTAATTTCTATCTAGGTAAAATTAATAATAATAAACCCTCTGCATACTGTAGCTAGTTTAAAAAAAAGTAAAAATAAATCAGCCTTACTTATAAAAATACGCATGCACATACAATTTAAATTTAGGTCCAGATCCGGCCGGAATTCCGGCATCCCTAGTTTCGACCTTTACTTGATGAAACTCCATATCAACTATGTAAATATAAAAACAACTGTTTTGAAAGTTTCATGAAATTTATTTGAATGTTGACAATTGTTTCGCTACACAGTAGCTTCTTCAGAATTCTGAAGAAGCTACTGTGTAGCGAAACAATAATTATTGTCAACATTCAAATACATTTCCTGAAACTTTCAAAACATAGTTGTTTTTATATTTACATAGTTTATTGAAAAACGGATATTTTTTGTAATTTTGTTTTTTACCTTTTAAACGTTCATTACTTATATTATATATATATATATATATATATATATATATATATATATATATATTATATATTATTATTATATATACGAGGTGTGTTCAGAAAATAACGGGAATTGTTAAATTTCGCGGCTTCGGAGGGTCCGGTTGTCATAAAATTTTATTAATTATGTTGGTATAAATTCCCCCGAAGTATGATAAAAACTTTAGCCGTTTTCATTGTTTACTTTGTCTGTGGCAGCCGCTAAGGTTAGACGTGTTTTATGAGCTCGGCGATTTTCGTTCGTTAAAAGAAATGGATCAAAGAGAATTTGTATCCAATTTTGCTTAAAAAATGAAATAAATTCTGTGAAATGTTAACAAAGGCCTATAGTGAGTGTGCTATAAGTAAAACAAGAGTTTACAAGTGGTATAAGAGTTTCCAAGAGGGGCCTTCTTAGAGGGTCGTAAAGACGTTGAAGATGACGAACGCCCCGAACGCACAAGCACATTAACAACCGATAAAAACATGAAAAAAGTGGAAGAAATGGTTATAAACCATCAGAGAAGTCGCTGATGATGTTGGTATATCGATTGGCTCATCCCATGAAATTTTTTCAAATGTTTTGGGTATGAAACGCGTGGAAGCAAAATTTGTTCCAAAATGGTTAAATTTTGAACAAAATTTTTGGCCAAAAACAATACTGTAATAATGTCCCAGCCTCCATATTCGCCAGACATGCCTCTTTCTGACTTTTTCCTATTCAAAAAAATAAAGAGAACCTTAAAGGGCCGTCGTTTTTCAAGCATATATGGCATTAAAAGCGCATTGCTGAAAGAACTAAAGGCACATATGCATAATATTCAATGGGGACTATTTTGAAGGCGACAACATTAATGTAGACGAATAAATAAATATTTGTTTCAAAAAACGAAAATTCCCGAATTTTCTGAACACACCTCGTATATATACGAGGTGTATATATATATATATATATATATATATATATATATATATCCTAAATCCATCCTAAATCCAAATTTAAAATCATTTAAAAAACTATTTGAATTACTTTTTTTTAATATTTATTGCAACCTGGAAATAAACATTTTCTCTATTAGTAGTAAACATTATTTATTGGAAAAACCAAATGTCATTCGACCAAGGTCTTTCTGCCTTTTTCTCAGTTAATAATCTAAAAAATAAACATTAAAAAATAATAATAAACGTTGTGGCACCCGTCCCGAAGCGGGACTTAACTTCGGCCCCGACTGACGTCACACACTGTAAATTCGATTTTATTCCCCGAGCGTGTAAAATTAATGTTAAGCTGGATGGCTCAGATGGTAGGGCGGTCGCTTGTCATGCGAGAGGTACCGGGTTCGATACTATTAGAAGTTGTCGAGCTTTTTTTATTTTTTTATTTTATAAATTTGTTGTTCCTTTGTTAAAAAGTGTTGGGTTGGGTTGGGTTGGTTGGTTTGTTTTAGTTTTATCGTAACATAACAAATCTTAAAATTATGATGTCACTCGGGACTCCCGGACTGGAGCCACAGCGTTTAATAAATGAATGAATTGTTTCCAAATAAATAAATTTATTAATATATATTTAATAAGTTTTTCTATCAGTGCATAATTAAATAGCAATTAATATTATTATGTAGGTATGATTTAATCCTATTTTAGTGGAGAAACATTTTTTACTTAATTTAACCCAGTTTTCTCACAATTCTAAACTGTTTCTTTCGGAAAAAAAAATTACGTGATATTTGCCGAGACCACCCTCCCCCCACGTGAGATTGGGTAAGGTTTTGCTCGACCCCTTACCACCCCCAAACACCTCACGTAATTAATGGATGCCCCCTTTCAAAAAAGCGTATATTCGACCAACTCTATTAAATAAAGCTTTGGTAATATACATCTTGTATGCTCTTTAACTTCAAAACGGTCCATAGTAGGAAAAAACGTTGAAACTCAATAACATAGCTTGTAGGGGACAATGTCAAAATTGTTTAGTTTATACATTTTTTTTAAACTTACCGTTTAAAAAATACCTACAATAAAAAAAACAACAAAACATTCAAAAATAGTAGGGGGTATGATCCCGCAAAGTTGAGGTTAAGCTTTTCTTATGAGCCTCAAACGAGTCGTGCAAAAAATGACTATGGTAATTTTTTTCGAAAACAGACTTTTTTTCGACAGATATTTTTTGTAATTTTATATTTTACTTTTTAAACATTAATTACTTATGCTATACCTATATAATGTATATATATTTTTTAATTGTCATCCTGCTTTAAACTCAATTATTTATTAATATTTTTGTTTTCTTTTTAGGTATTTGTCTTAAGTGGTCGCAATTGTTGTATGGAATGTTAGTGTCATTATGCGCCCCAAAGAACAGGACCGGCCTTGAGTCGGGTAGCGCAATATGCGATCACCCAATCGCAACCCCACGGCCGCTCACAGAGCCGGGCGGAACTTTGAGCCAGAATTGCGTTTGCACTACCTGTCGCCAGGAGCCTTTACAGTTCTGCCTCCAGAAAATCCCCCTCCACCAGAACCACCTGCTGCACCAGCCCCGTACAGGTAATAACAAATTTTAATCATAACAATAATTATTGTTGTGGGATGAGAAAATGGCCCCAAGCAACCGAACTTAATATTTGCCCAATCTCACAACATTTCTGTATCCAAAGATAAGTTCTAAGTAAATTTATAATTTTAATACATTTTTTATTTACAGGCTCACCCCAACTACAAGGCACAATAGAAACCAGGCTTTTTCTATAATAGCAGAACCAAATGAAACAGGTTCGAGAAGTTCTTCGCCATCAGGAAGAGTTAGTCCTTTTAGAGGACGAGGTTTTAATCCTACCGGCTCTAGACATGCTTCCCCAGCTCCTTCCCCACCTCCAGAGGACGCCAGGCTTACACCAAGAAACCTTTCGCCACGAAGAAGTAACAATTCAAGAATACCGACTCTATCAAGGCGAGGAAGTAATTCTGCTTTTGGCGAAAAGGTTAGCCATATAGCATCACCAAGGAAAAGAGTATTAAACTCGCAGTTAAGCCAAAGTTTATCGAATTTGGAGAAAGAAGCATACAGCAACAAGCAAAATCCACCTTCTACGATTTTAAAAAAAACCTTTGGTCATAGCAAACCGCCTGCTTTTCAACAGTTATCACCTATTGCCGGCAGTTCTCCGGAGCCAAGTCAATCCCTGTCTTCCCCTTCTAGGATTCCACAAAGTCGCAGCCAGCCTGGTAGTAGAATTACATCACCAACAAGACCTTCCCATGGTGCAGCTGCAAAACCTCCAATTTCATCCAGAAACACCTCCAGGGTGGCTTCAAGAAGTACCTCAAGAAATCCATCGAGGAATGCATCAAGAAATGCCAGTCGGGAGCCAAGTCCCACTAAGAATCCTACATCACCCACCAGAATATCTGTTAAAAATTATAGAAATGTACAAGCTAAAGTTAATAGTTTTAAAAGTGCTAAACCCAAAGTGCCTCCAAAACCTTCCACTACTAGTGATCAAACGGACGATTCGGACGTTACCAAACCACTACCACCTAAAAGGCTAGTTAAAAAAGATAGTGTTAAAAAGTTAAGAACAACGTCCAATAGCAATATATTGGCTAAAACTGCCAGCAACAATAATCTTGCTTATGTAAATAATAATACAAATAGGAATTCTAACGAATCTAATAATAATGCTGATAAAATTAACTCTACAATTGTAAGACATCCTGATAACAAAAATAAAAATATAAGTGCTAAGACCAATAATAGTAGTAGTAATAATAATAATGTTAACAAATCCGTTGCCAATAACAATAAAATAAGTGAAAATAAAAAGACCCAACTCAACAAAAGTGATACAGACACAAGTGAAATAACTACGCACAACGATAAATCAAGTGCCGACGAACTAAAGAAAACTAACACCACCCCAAAACTAACCGATTTGTTACCCTCTACAACCATTGTGGTGTCCAGCACTACGACCACAATAACCCAACCCCTTAAAATTGATGCCAAACTAGATTCAACTATAAAATACGACAAACCAAAACCAGTATCGCCAATGGTAGATGGCAGGGTGCTAAGTGCTACCAGCGTTTCCAATGCTATGAACCGCATGAACGATTCTGTTCTTAATACACAAACCCTAATCAAAGATCACGGTTTATCGTCGAAAATAACAGCTGCTAATGCTATTGTATCAATGGCAAACGAAATCAAACCAACAAATCCAGCGTTGGACACCAAGAACGCTACCACGGCCCTACCAACCGTAGAACCAACAAACACCAAACCCATAGAAAATAATCACAAACAAGTTTCAAGTGTTGGAATTCTGGACTCAAAGACGTTAGAGAAACACGTGCAAAACAACATGAACAATGTTGGCCACGTCATGGGGAATTCGGTTAAAAAAAGCGTTAACGATAGGATTAAGGAAGCTAGGACAGTTGTGGCCGCGGATGTTAAACCAATACAAATATCCGTTGAAGGAAAGCCTTCAGATGTTGAAGTGCAAAGTGGCAACGTGAGGTTACCTGTAAGCGCAACAAATGGACTCAGCGAAAGGCCAGGGTAAGTACATAATAGTTTAAGTACACTCTTTAGTTAAAGGTTTTTTTATAATAATAAATATAATATTAAACTGCGGATGCTTGTATTAAAATTGGTGTGTCATATAATAAATTTTCATTTCCTGGGGGGATGAAAGTTCACGCCATAGTAAGCAAATTTTTCCTCTAGATATCACGCATTAAAACCACTGTTTTTAAATTGAAATTAACTTAATTCTTAGGCATTTAATGGGCAGCCACTGGTTAGCATGTGAACTATCATCCCCCAAGGGATGACAACTTATTACACGACATCCTGTATAGAAAAGTTAATGCAAATTATAATGTCAAAAATAATAAAAAGGTTGTGAAATAATTAAAAAAATATAATGATTATAAAAAAATGTTTCTGATAATTGGTTAATTTTATAACTTAACAAAAAATATTGACAATAATACCAGCTTAGAATAATTTCCTCTTTTGGTGCTATATTTGAAAAACAAAGTGATTTTTGTTATAAATAAATTGTTTTCAAATTAATTAACTCGAAACTGCCATCGAAGGGGTCATACTGGCCCAAGGAACTGCCTAAGAGATTACATAAACCTCGAAGGTGAGGAGTTAAGGTATTTGGGAAATTTTAAAATATTAAGGAATAGGAATACGAAAATATACGTTAAATAACAAAAATTATTAAAAAATTAAAATAAATTTAGACATGTTATTTATGACCTATTCCGTGATAAATCATTATTTTGGACAAAAACTTCTGTCAGATCTATCCAACCTCACTTTCTACTTTAAATAATTGTATGTTTTATGTATCGTTTCAGTATGAATTTAAGATAATAGTTACTTATGTTATATAAGGATGAAAGGGTCTGTTTGAGAAGATAAAATGTTGCAAGCCATTCAGTCAAGAAGTATCTTTTTTTGCTTCGCTCAACCATACTCGGCATTCGAACTTTGAGCAAACATGGAACTTTTTTTAACCAGTACAATTGTTAACTTAAATGTAAAAATGCGTTTTTAGTGCTTTTTTCCCAAAAAAACTGACTCCCCTAGAATGAAACTCTGCATTTTAAAATTGTAAAAGGCAAAAACTTGTTTTTTATTGTTAAAATATATGTTGCCATTAATTTGTATACTTTGTCTTTTACTTTAAAATTTTTAGCGTTTGCAGTTATTTTTTTTAAATGGTAGAACATTATTTTATAATAGCTTAAATGTAACTCTTGATATATATTTTTTAAATATTTTATAACAGAATAATAAAATAAAAAATATAAGTTTTCTGATAAAGTTGCGTGACAAAGCGTTACAGAAATATAAAAAAAGTAAGTTGTCTGTAGATTGGGAAAACTACAAAGAATTAAGAAATTTCATTAATCAAGCAGTCAAGAGTGAGAAGAACGCATTTTTAAGTTGCAACATTACTAAAAATAAATCAAAGAAAAATTGGCAAATTCTAAAAAAATGGAAATAAGTAGCAAAAACGAAAATACTGTTCCAAACATTTAAGTAATGTAGAAAATATAAATAATTATTATCTAAATATAATGAAAAATAACCCATCCCCTGAAGAATTAATAAACTGCTTTTGGAATAATAAAAAAGATAATATTGAGGAATTTAAATTTAGACTAACTAATGAATAAGAAATCTCCAACATAATAATGAAAATTAAATCCAGAGCTGTTGGTTTTGATGAAATTGGGATGGATGCTGTTATATTTTGTTGCCCTAAAATTCTTCCCATTATTACTCATTTATATAATTTTTGTTTTGATAATAGTGTATTTCCGGATATCTGGAATATTCAGTTGTTATGCCTTTACCTAAGGTGGCCGAGCCCAGGTATTTTAAGGATTTGCGTCCCATAAGTATACTGCCAACATTATCAAAAGTTTTCAAAAAAATCATTTATAAACAAAAAGGAGCATTTGGATAGATATCACTTATTTCCTAAACTGCAGTCAGGGTTTAGAAGATCCTATGGTTGTTCAACTGCTCTCTTAAAGGTTTTGGATGATACTGATCAAAACAAATAAACAGCTCTAATGTTATTTGATTTTTCTAAGGCTTTAGATAGAGTTAATCATGGTCTGCTTTTGTCTATGCTACATTATATAGGGTTTGATATGGGAGCAACAAGACTATTGGAATGATATTTAAAAAATCGTAAACAATTGGCCAAACTTGGTAATGAGATATCTACGCTAGGTGATATCATCTGCGGTGTTCTTTAGGGTTCCATATTGGGACCATTATTGTTTACTATTTATACAAATGAATTAGTAAAATCCATATGCTCTTTTGTTGGAATCTAAAAAATACTGTCTTGAGTTGAATCCTAATAAGAGTAAACTCATGTTTTTTGGTAAGAAGTTAACCCGAGAACGTTACGCAAGATATTTAGATATATTTAGATCGTATTAAAAATACCTATTTAGATCTGGAATTGGATTGCGAAGTTAGGCCCGGTTTTATCATCTCTAGTTAAAATTAAATTGCTACTTAATTGGTAGTTAATTTGTTTTTGTGTCTTACAATTGGTAGTTATTTATCAAAGTGCAGATTATGTTTGAGTTTCCGTAACTACGACTTCTTGTATTAGTAAAGTTGTGGTTAACCTAAAAATACATTTAATATTGTGCTAATTTTAAATATGAATTTATTAAACAAAAATTTGTTTTCAACAGAAAGAAATGTGAAAAAAATATGGAAAACTATAGATGAAATAATTTATCTTAACTAGAAAAACAAATAATAAGATAGACAGACTAAAATACAAAAATAAAGAATACACTGAGAGTAAAGAAATAGCTAATAATAATAATATAATATAATAATAATAAATTCTGTTCTGAAGTTGCTAAAGAACTGCAAAATATATAATATACCTGATATAACATTTGAAAAAGTTACAAATAATAAAACTATTTTTATGTCCCCTTGTACAATGAGTGAATTAGGAAAAGTTATCGCATCTTTGAACTATAATAACTCATTTGATGGTAATATTACTACTAAAGATATTAAAGAGATTTATCCTAACATAAAAAAACCTTACTCAGATGAATAAATAACATCTTTTAATTTTCCTGAAAAATGTAAAATATCTACTTCCTATATACAAAAAAGGTAGTAAAGAAGATCCAGGATACTACCTTCCAATATCTATTACTTCTATTTTCTCTAAAATTATTATGTTTAAATAATTTTTATTAGGATTTATTTTTTTTACATTTGACAGCGCAAATAAGGTTATATTTGGCGATTTCCGGTAAAATTCTATACTAACCTGACAAAAATATGTCAAAAGTTGTGATTCTGTAACTAATGCTTCAACATGCGTGAAAAAACAGATTGCAATTTAACTAACAATTTGCCGCTAGTTAAATATAACCGTAACTTACGAAAGTGCTAATTAAATGCAATATTGAAAAACCGGGCTATATTAAGAAAGCATTTTTTAAATTAAAGCTTATATTTTCACATAAAGATGTAAAAAGCGTATTTCTCCTCCCAGACAGCACTTTTTAAGAGATCTTTCTCGTATTCTATCTATTCTTTATTAAATTTAGTCCCACAGCAACTTATGAGTTTATCACCATCAATATTTAAATAACATGTAAAAAATATAGTTTTTCATCATTTCTAATCGATATCAAATAACAACTAATTATTTTTATTCTTGATTATAATAATTATTATATAAAATTAATATTAATATTATAATATAATATTAATATTATATTTAATTATTTGTTCTCTTGTCTATTAGGTGTAGTTAGATATTCTTATTCTGTTCACTTATAAATTAATATGTTTTGTAAGCTATTTATGATATTGCAATAAACTATTATTATTATATAAATAAATAATACCTGTAGGTAATTGAAATGTAAAAAAGATTTTAGGATTAATATATGGCGCCCGAATAGCATTGTCCCTGAAACCGTATATTATAATACGAATTTATTATGACCCTTGAACTATTCGCATTAGGTCGCCATCGAACATTGGGGCTTTTGGCACGCACCTATTTTCACTGGTGGAAATATATATTTGGTCATTTCAATGGACCACTAACCCACATATACAGCTAAATTTAGTTTTCTTCGACGTACCAAATATTTTTAACGAGTATTTTGCATAAGATTTAGATTTACCAGATAAAACGACAAATTAGCTGGTTCAGTAGGTTTTGTTTTATTTATACGAGCTTCCGTGTCAACGCACATTGTTTATATTAACTTATTACGTCAATTTAAATTAGGTGTACATTCAAAATTCCTTATTATAAAAGAAATAATTTTCTTTTTTAATTAATAACGACAGAAATTAAGTCAAAAATCTTTATTAATTATAAATAATGGTCCATTATATTTTAAACACTATTTATATACAAAAGGATGTTTCAATAGAAACGCCGGATTTGACATGTTTATTAAATAGGTACCTTAAATATTTGAAAATAATTTTTATTTCGACATAAAGTACCGATTATGCATGAAACAAAATATCCCACAAATACCCACCACGACTTTGCTGGAACACCCTCCCTCTTTTAATGAAATTTTTTATAACATCCATATGTGCTGCTGAATAACGCGTCGAATATCGTCTTTAAGTTGATAAATTGTTGCCCCAAATTCTGCAATTTTGTTTATTGACATGAACAATATTGTCTTTGTTAATTCAACATCTTGTTGCCTTACCAGAATCCAATTAACGAATTCTCGTCACATTGCATGAACTACTGGGATAAGCTCCTGTGTTAATTGAATTTTGTAGGGATGAAAATAAAGATCTTCTGTTAAAATTAGCTGTAAACTGTTCCTCGAAATAACAACTCGTTGGAAACGATGACGAATCGAGGTTCCAGGATTTTCGTGAACACTTTTCCGTACTGCTGCAATATTTTCAGCAGATTGACTAGTACGACGACGCACAGGTATTTTTATGTCTCCATCCGAACCACTTTTCTCAAATTACCTTAGCACTGATTGATGAGA